CGTAACTGCGACACAGATTGTGGAGGCGGTAAATCAATCAATGCTTTTATCTTACGTGCGTTTGGCCTAATTTCCCCGTTGCTTATTTCGAACCCCAGATACTCTATACGAGTTTTAAGAAAGGAGCACTTTGTTACATTAAACGAAAATCCGGCATTACTCAATGTTTCTAGTACAGTATGCAACCGTTCCAACGCCTCTTCTTTGGTTTCGGCTATAACCAACACATCATCAATATAAACGATAGCATATGTGTGTGCTAGAGTTCCTAATGCTCTTATTATGGCCCTCTGGAACACAGAAGGTGCATTTTTCAAGCCAAAAGGCATGGTCAAAAACTCGTACTGCCCTTCTGGCGTTACAAACGCGGTTCGCTCTATTGAATTTTCATGTCCTGGAATTTGGTAGAAACCACTGGCCATATCTAAGCACGAGAAATATTTGGCACCGCGAAGCCTGGCAATCTGGTCTGCGATAAGAGGCAAAGGATACCTATCAGCAACGGTATTCTCATTTAATATCCTATAGTCCACACAAAGACGATCAGTTAATTTCTAACTGCCCTGTCGAGACTCGAGTTTTTGGAATACCGCTGATAAACCAATCAGAGTAACACTTTAGGATATTTGTTAAGGCCATTTTATCGGATTCGACTAAATCAATATCAGCATTTATAATATCTTTGAAATCAGTTACAGTCAAAACATTTACCCTTTTTGTTTTGTAAATTTGGAATTTGTCGGCGTCTATTGTTACTCCAAAGCCCTGGCTAAGGATTTCACGACCAACCAACACATCGTATTTCAGATACTTATCCATAATTACGTGTAACAAAATTTCAAAGCAGTATTGTTCAATATTTATATTACATAATACTTGCTGAGTACTACAAATGGCATCATTACTTATACCATTAAGTTTTACAATGTTATTTATTCTTTTTCCCTTAAATTTATCCACGGCGCTTTCCTTCACTAAAGAGCATTCAGCACCCGAATCAAAGCAAAATGGAATAGACTCACCGGATGCCCTTATTATTCCAGACGGTGGAGCTACTGTGCAGATATCTACCCGCTTCTCATACGTTCGGCCTTTTGGACAAGCAGATGCAAAATGTCCTATTTCGTCACACTTGAAGCACTTAATTTTGACATAAGTAGCGTCACAATACGGCTGCCGTATTCGGCGAAGCCCTCCTCCGGCTTTGGTCGACCATTCAGAACATTTAATAGCATGGCGGCAGAAGTCTCAATTCCAACAAAGCGTTGTATAAACAGCTCCTTGAACTGCGCCCAAGTGATGCCGGCAAAGCAAATTTGGGAAAGCCACTGTGATGCGCAGCCTTCTAGTGCCTTGCTTAGGGCGATCACCAGGTTGCTACCCTCGAGCACGTTATCCGCAAAAATTAGATCAACTGTTGAACACCAAGAGGAAGCATCCGCTCCAGCGCTGTCAGGATTGAATTTTGGAAGAGTCACATATGACGCTTTTCCATCGGTTGGCGGTGCACTTGGTGTCTGCATGTTTTTGATGATTTCCAGTAGGTTGCGGTTTTGCAGCTCCAACGCTGACAAATACGGATCGGTGGCACGATCAGTAGGCAAAGCAGATCCCACTTCTGATGTCGGGGGCTCCTCTAGTGACGGATTCATTTTTATTTATTCTTTAAAGCACAGCAAGTTCTGCTCGTCTCTATGCCGCAAACCGAACTGACCTCCGAGAACGCAGAGCTCAATTTTATCAATTCCTTCTTTGCTCCTGCCTCTGTTCTCACTCAGTTCGCGACATACGATCAGACCTCACTCAGTAGCAGACACTCAATTTCCGCTACTATGCTTCTTTCCCGTTAACTGCGCATTTACAATCCAAAGTTCCAAAATATGTCTCGCCAATGCGTCGCCTACTTTAAATGACGTTCTAGGAAATGCACCTACGCAGCGAACACACACTGACCTACGAAGAACATGTATTTGCTCTCCGACATATACTTTATAGGGTCGGAGATGTCTCCTTCTTTGCGTTGCACACTTTTGACCAAAATTATAATACCCGCTGCAAGGGTATAAATATGAAATCAAATACTAAATATATATATAAAATACATTTTGTGTAAACTAACTTCGGCAAGCCGAAGTTTTAATACCCTTGCAGACTTTGCCGGAATTGCTAAAAGTGAAAAAGTAGCGAAAGGAATAAGGTATACATAAGTAAACTAGATTTGCAACGTTTCAAGTCAATTGCTTTTTTACTGCAAAAATGTCATATACAAATAGAAAAAAAGGGATACTTTCGCAGCCTTTTACAATTTTTCCTATCTCCTTTAAGATATAGACTACCGAGCGGCAAGCGCCTTTACCCTAATCAAGATATGCGTAAATAAATAAGAATTGGAAAAATGTATGTTAGTAGCTTACACACTGCGCGAAATATTCTGATAATCGTCAAATTTGGACCGATTTCACCCCATTGTTCCTATGGGAGCTATATGATATAGACGTCCGATCGGCACGCGATTTCACCTTGATCAATGTATGCATAAAACAAGAAAGGAAAGCTAACTTCGGGCGGAGCCGAAGTTGAAATACCCTTGCAGAATATTCTGCAAATTATATTCTCCAAAATTATTCATATGATGAATTCTTAATACTCATAAAAAATCCCAACTTCCTAACTTAAAAAACACCAAAGTTATGGCATTTCCAATCGTTCAGTTATGTATATGGCAGCTATAGAATATAGTCGGCCGATCCTTATGAAATTTGATATGTCGGATTAATTGGCCAAATATAAAACCCATAGAAAATCCCAACTTCCTAACTTAACAAACAGCAGAGTTATGGCATTTCCGATCAATCAGTTATGTGGCAGCTATAGGATATAGTCGGCCGATTCTTATGAAATTTAGTACGTCGGATTGATTGGGCAAAAATAAAACCCATAGAAAATCTCAACTTCCTAACTTAACAAACACTAAAGTTATGGCATTTCCGATCAATCAGTTATATGGCAGCTATAATATATAGTCGGCCGATCCTTATGAAATTTGGTAGGTCGGATTAATTGGCCAAATATAATACTCATAGAGAGTCCCAACTTCCTAACTTAACAAACAGCAGAGTTATGGCATTTCCGATCAATCAGTTATATGGCAGCTATAGGATATAGTCGGCCGATCCCGGCCGTTCCGACTTATATACTGCGTGCAAAGGAAAGAAGGGTGTGTGCAAAGTTTCAATTCGATATCTTTAAAACTGACAGACTAGTTCGCGTAGAAACAGACAGACGGACAGACAGACGGACAGACAGACGGACAGACAGACGGACAGACAGACGGACAGACGGACATGGCTATATCAACTCAGGAGGTGATCCTGATCACGAATATATATACTTTATAGGGTCGGAGATGTCTCCTTCACTGCGTTGCACACTTTTGACCAAAATTATAATACCCTCTGCAAGGGTATAAAAATAATAAAATAATACGAAAATACAAATAAATAAAAATAATAATACTAATTTCGCTGCAGTTTAGCTTTGTTAAATTGGTCGTAATTTGAGACTAGTGGCGATGGATGCCAGCGCGGCAGAAAATGCAAGGCCAATGCTCTCCTCCAGGATTTAAAGAGGATACAAGGAGCCCTTCACCCAATTTCAAGCGTGGAGGACGCCATGCTCCACGTGCGTCATGGCCAGTTAGTCTCAGTGTACGATGACTTCAAGGCCATCCACGGGAATCTTGAAGAATTGGACATTTCGGAGATCGGCAGCGACTTGCGATGGACCGTGTCGGAGCTCGTCGCGACGATGCACACTGAAATAGAGCACGAAACCTTGCGACGCTCTGCTCAAATGGCTGCCCACTCAACTCTCACCAACGGGATCTCCTCTATGCCAGACCCAGGGCTCAGTCGCAGCTTTCAAGCTCTGCCGCCTATTCCGCTCCCTACCTTCAGTGGAGGATACTCCGAGTGGTCTGAGTTCCAATCTATCTACTCAACTATGGTAGGCGGAAATCCACATATAAGCAAGGTGGAAAAGCTGCAGAGGCTACGATCCTGTCTTCGCGACTCAGCGTTAGAAGCAGTTCGGTCCTTGGAAACTTCCGAGGAAAATTATGACGTTGCATTGGGTCTTTTGGAAAAGCGATTTAGTAACCGTCGTTTAATATTTCAGGCTCATGTGAACGAGATTCTAGGCCTCTGTATCGTGGAAGGTGGCTCAGTGGCAGGTCTACGAGGATTCTCAGATAAGTTCAATGCCCATATGCGGGCCTTGAAGAATTTGGGAAGGACGCAACAAATTGCCGGCTGCATCATCGTCCAGGTGCTTCTTCAAAGATTGGACCCAGCTACCCAGGCGAAGTGGGAGGAAGGCCAGACTGCCATCAATTCAGACCTTATTCCTACGTGGGACTCGATGGCGGAATTCCTGGAGCAACGATGCAGTGGATGTGGCTCGAGGCTGTGGATGTGGCCATGGCCGCATACGCGCCAGGCACTCAGGTGGGAAGACGTAGAGTTGCTAATAACAGTAGATCCGCCTTCATTATTACTAATGCGCCTCCCGCTAGCTGTATATTATGCGGTGGGAGGTCCCATGAGGTGCCTGCGTGTCCAAGGTTTCTGCTGTTGTCCCCTGAGAGCCGCCTAGGCGAGGCTAGGCGACTTGGTCTTTGTCGAAAATGTCTCAGAACCGGCCATCACCTGCGAGACTGCGTCGCTAATAATTGCCACAGCTGTGGGAGACGGCATCACAGTTTGCTGCATTTTCTGGACTCGCAGTCTTCTAGCGGCCATCTGCCAGTTGCTTTACCCATTTCCTCCTTATCCGAGGGTTCTGAACCTCTAGCCTCATCGCCATCCACAGTCAATGCCTTAATTGCCCAAGGTCGTAGCCGCGACATAGCTTTGCTTGCAACAGCGAACATACTTGTTAGGAGCCGCGCTGGTATTTTTGTTCCTTGCCGAGCGCTTCTGGATTCTGGATCTCAAGTACACATGATTACGTCCCGATTGGCTAATCAGCTGCAGTTGCGTAAATGCAAATCATTCATGTCGGTGTCTGGAATTGGCGATACCGGCTATGCCACGGACGGATTCTCTGTTGATGTGCTCCTACGTTCTCACTGTTCAGAATACTCGTCTCTTATTAGTGCAGTCGTCGCTGGCAACATTACGGATCTCCAGCCTAGTTTCTGCTTAGATGTCTCCAATTGGAATATACCATGCAATCTTAATCTCGCTGATCCAGAATTCTTTCGACCACAGCGTATCGATTTGCTCATCGGAGCCAGCCTCTTTTATGAATTGCTGTGTGTTGGACAAGTTCAGCTCTCAGCTGGCCTACCGTTGCTGCAGAAAACCCGACTTGGATGGGTTGTGTGTGGAGGCGGTTCACCTGTCGAGAGAAGGTCACTCGTAGCCACAGCCTGCAAGGATGACACGAAGAGCCCAAGCCTGCCGGATGAACGTTTAGATTGTCTGCTCCGCCAGTTCTGGGAAATAGAGGACTGCTCCGAACCAATAGTGAAGTGGACAAAGGAAGAGCTGGATTGCGAAGCGCATTTTGTGCAACACCCGTCTCGGCTCAAGTCAGGCGCTTATGCTGTGAGGCTGCCGTTGAAATGCAGTTCTGATTTGCTGGGAGAATCGTATCCCCAAGCCGTGCGTCGATTTCTCTCTCTAGAAAGGAAGCTCAGTCGTCACCCTCAATTGAAGAATCAGTATGCTGCGTTTATAAAAGAGTATTTGGAGTTGGGCCATATGTCTGCAGTTCCTGCTAATGCGAGCCTCACTTCTCAGTACTTCCTACCTCACCACTGTGTTTTGAAAGAGGACAGTTCAACAACCAAGCTCAGGGTTGTTTTTGATGGATCTGCTGCTACCACTTCTGGGTATTCGTTGAATGACGTGTTGATGTCCGGCCCAGTTATACAGCCAAAGTTGCTTCACATCCTGTTAAGGTTCCGTTACCATCGGGTGGCCATTACAGGAGATATCTGCAAAATGTACCGATGTGTCAGAGTTTTCCCTGAGGACAGCCATTTGCAGTGTATCCTTTGGCGGGATTCCACCCAGGACGAGTTGCAGGTTTTTAAACTTGACACTGTAACTTATGGAACAAAACCAGCGTCATTTTTGTCAGTGCGAGCAATGCATCAATTGGCCGAGGATAAGCAGTTGATGTTTTCAAAGGGGGCCGAGATTCTGCGACGCGACTTTTACGTGGACGATTTAATTTCTGGAGGTGCTTCTGTGGCTGAAGCTGTCAACATCATGCAGCAAACATCAGGGATCCTTGCCAAGGGTCAATTTCGCTTGAGAAAGTGGTGCCGGAAGAGGATCGGGAGTCGTTTCTGAGATTTGATGACGGCAGCAACTTTACGAAAACTCTGGGCCTCGCTTGGGATCCTGCTACTGATCGCTTGCTATTTTCATTTGAGGGCCTTCAGTCAACCTTAAATCTAACTAGGCGCATCGTCCTTTCCTCGATCGCCCGGTTGTATGATCCTTTAGGGCTTGTCGGGCCAGTCATCACAAGGTCAAAGATCTTTCTTCAGAAGCTGTGCCGTGAGAAGTTGTCTTGGGATGAGAGTCTTCCTCAGGCTCTTCACTCTGATTGGGAAAAAAATTGCTGCAGCTTCGCTATGGCTCAGAGGGCCGATTTTCCCAGATGGTCACTATCATCACCGACCGATTTGGAGATTCATGGATTTTGTGACGCTAGCATCGAGGCTTATGGTGCCTGTATTTATGTCGTCTCAAGGGGTACAGGAGCGGGAAGTCACCTGCTTTGCTCGAAGTCTCGAGTGGCGCCGCTAAAGACTGTTACGGTGCCGAAACTGGAACTATCAGGAGCAGAATTGCTGGCGCGGCTTATGTCAGAAGTAGATAATCTGAAGATGTACGCTGGGAAGCATTATTGTTGGTGCGATTCTGCAGTGGCGCTGTCCTGGATTCGAGAGGAGCCTGCCCGGTTTAATGTTTTCGTTGCCAATCGAGTTGCGACGATCCAGGAGTTAACCAGAACGATGGAGTGGCGCTATGTTCCCACGTCCTTGAATCCGGCGGACATCCTGTCCCGTGGTGCTCTTTCTAATGAGTTGATCGTTGATGAGCTGTGGGCACATGGTCCTCCGTTTCTTCTTGGTCCTCAAGATGAGTGGCCAGTTGCCATCCTATGGAATCCTAAGGTATACATAAATAATTTATACTGCAAAATTGTCATATACAAATAGGAAAAAAAGGGATATTTTCGCAGCCTTTAACAATTTTTCCTATCTCCTTTAAGATATAGACTACCGAGCGGCAAGCGCTTTTACCCTAATCAAGATATGCGTAAATAAATAAGAATTGGAAAAATTTATGTTAGAAGCTTACACACTGCGCGAAATATTCTGATAATCGTCAAATTTGGACCGATTTCACCCTATTGTTCCTATGGAAGCTATATGATATAGACGTCCGATCGGCACGCGCTTTCACCTTGATCAATGTATGCATAAAACAAGAAAGGAAAGCTAACTTCGGGCGGAGCCGAAGTTGAAATACCCTTGCAGAATATTCTGCAAATTATATTCTCCAAAATTATTCATATGATGAATTCTTAATACTCATAAAAAATCCCAACTTCCTAACTTAAAAAACACCAAAGTTATGGCATTTCCAATCGTTCAGTTATGTATATGGCAGCTATAGAATATAGTCGGCCGATCCTTATGAAATTTGATATGTCGGATTGATTGGGCAAAAATAAAACCCATAGAAAATCCCAACTTCCTAACTTAACAAACACTAAAGTTATGGCATTTCCGATCAATCAGTTATATGGCAGCTATAAGATATAGTCGGCCGATCCTTTTGAAATTTGGTAGGTCGGATTAATTGGCCAAATATAAAACCCATAGAAAATCCCAACTTCCTAACTTAACAAACAGCAGAGTTATGGCATTTCCGATCAATCAGTTATGTGGCAGCTATAGGATATAGTCGGCCGATTCTTATGAAATTTAGTACGTCGGATTGATTGGGCAAAAATAAAACCCATGGAAAATCCCAACTTCCTAACTTAACAAACACTAAAGTTATGGCATTTCCGATCAATCAGTTATATGTCAGCTATAAGATATAGTCGGCCGATCCTTATGAAATTTGGTAGGTCGGATTAATTGGCCAAATATAATACCCATAGAGAGTCCCAACTTCCTAACTTAACAAACAGCAGAGTTATGGCTTTTCCGATCAATCAGTTATATGGCAGCTATAGGATATAGTCGGCCGATTCTTATGAAATTTAGTACGTCGGATTGATTGGGCAAAAATAAAACCCATAGAAAATCCCAACTTCCTAACTTAACAAACACTAAAGTTATGGCATTTCCGATCAATCAGTTATATGGCAGCTATAATATATAGTCGGCCGATCCTTATGAAATTTGGTAGGTCGGATTAATTGGCCAAATATAATACTCATAGAGAGTCCCAACTTCCTAACTTAACAAACAGCAGAGTTATGGCATTTCCGATCAATCAGTTATATGGCAGCTATAGGATATAGTCGGCCGATCCCGGCCGTTCCGACTTATATACTGCGTGCAAAGGAAAGAAGGGTGTGTGCAAAGTTTCAATTCGATATCTTTAAAACTGACAGACTAGTTCGCGTAGAAACAGACAGACGGACAGACAGACGGACAGACAGACGGACAGACAGACGGACAGACACACAGACGGACAGACGGACATGGCTATATCAACTCAGGAGGTGATCCTGATCACGAATATATATACTTTATAGGGTCGGAGATGTCTCCTTCACTGCGTTGCACACTTTTGACCAAAATTATAATACCCTCTGCAAGGGTATAAAAATAATAAAATAATACGAAAATACAAATAAATAAAAATAATAATACTAATTTCGCTGCAGTTTAGCTTTGTTAAATTGGTCGTAATTTGAGACTAGTGGCGATGGATGCCAGCGCGGCAGAAAATGCAAGGCCAATGCTCTCCTCCAGGATTTAAAGAGGATACAAGGAGCCCTTCACCCAATTTCAAGCGTGGAGGACGCCATGCTCCACGTGCGTCATGGCCAGTTAGTCTCAGTGTACGATGACTTCAAGGCCATCCACGGGAATCTTGAAGAATTGGACATTTCGGAGATCGGCAGCGACTTGCGATGGACCGTGTCGGAGCTCGTCGCGACGATGCACACTGAAATAGAGCACGAAACCTTGCGACGCTCTGCTCAAATGGCTGCCCACTCAACTCTCACCAACGGGATCTCCTCTATGCCAGACCCAGGGCTCAGTCGCAGCTTTCAAGCTCTGCCGCCTATTCCGCTCCCTACCTTCAGTGGAGGATACTCCGAGTGGTCTGAGTTCCAATCTATCTACTCAACTATGGTAGGCGGAAATCCACATATAAGCAAGGTGGAAAAGCTGCAGAGGCTACGATCCTGTCTTCGCGACTCAGCGTTAGAAGCAGTTCGGTCCTTGGAAACTTCCGAGGAAAATTATGACGTTGCATTGGGTCTTTTGGAAAAGCGATTTAGTAACCGTCGTTTAATATTTCAGGCTCATGTGAACGAGATTCTAGGCCTCTGTATCGTGGAAGGTGGCTCAGTGGCAGGTCTACGAGGATTCTCAGATAAGTTCAATGCCCATATGCGGGCCTTGAAGAATTTGGGAACGACGCAACAAATTGCCGGCTGCATCATCGTCCAGGTGCTTCTTCAAAGATTGGACCCAGCTACCCAGGCGAAGTGGGAGGAAGGCCAGACTGCCATCAATTCAGACCTTATTCCTACGTGGGACTCGATGGCGGAATTCCTGGAGCAACGATGCAGTGGATGTGGCTCGAGGCTGTGGATGTGGCCATGGCCGCATACGCGCCAGGCACTCAGGTGGGAAGACGTAGAGTTGCTAATAACAGTAGATCCGCCTTCATTATTACTAATGCGCCTCCCGCTAGCTGTATATTATGCGGTGGGAGGTCCCATGAGGTGCCTGCGTGTCCAAGGTTTCTGCTGTTGTCCCCTGAGAGCCGCCTAGGCGAGGCTAGGCGACTTGGTCTTTGTCGAAAATGTCTCAGAACCGGCCATCACCTGCGAGACTGCGTCGCTAATAATTGCCACAGCTGTGGGAGACGGCATCACAGTTTGCTGCATTTTCTGGACTCGCAGTCTTCTAGCGGCCATCTGCCAGTTGCTTTACCCATTTCCTCCTCATCCGAGGGTTCTGAACCTCTAGCCTCATCGCCATCCACAGTCAATGCCTTAATTGCCCAAGATCGTAGCGGCGACATAGCTTTGCTTGCAACAGCGAACATACTTGTTAGGAGCCGCGCTGGTATTTTTGTTCCTTGCCGAGCGCTTCTGGATTCTGGATCTCAAGTACACATGATTACGTCCCGATTGGCTAATCAGCTGCAGTTGCGTAAATGCAAATCATTCATGTCGGTGTCTGGAATTGGCGATACCGGCTATGCCACGGACGAATTCTCTGTTGATGTGCTCCTACGTTCTCACTGTTCAGAATACTCGTCTCTTATTAGTGCAGTCGTCGCTGGCAACATTACGGATCTCCAGCCTAGTTTCTGCTTAGATGTCTCCAATTGGAATATACCATGCAATCTTAATCTCGCTGATCCAGAATTCTTTCGACCACAGCGTATCGATTTGCTCATCGGAGCCAGCCTCTTTTATGAATTGCTGTGTGTTGGACAAGTTCAGCTCTCAGCTGGCCTACCGTTGCTGCAGAAAACCCGACTTGGATGGGTTGTGTGTGGAGGCGGTTCACCTGTCGAGAGAAGGTCACTCGTAGCCACAGCCTGCAAGGATGACACGAAGAGCCCGGATGAACGTTTAGATTGTCTGCTCCGCCAGTTCTGGGAAATAGAGGACTGCTCCGAACCAATAATGAAGTGGACAAAGGAAGAGCTGGATTGCGAAGCGCATTTTGTGCAACACTCTACTCGGCTCAAGTCAGGCGCTTATGCTGTGAGGCTGCCGTTGAAATGCAGTTCTGATTTGCTGGGAGAATCGTATCCCCAAGCCGTGCGTCGATTTCTCTCTCTAGAAAGGAAGCTCAGTCGTCACCCTCAATTGAAGAATCAGTATGCTGCGTTTATAAAAGAGTATTTGGAGTTGGGCCATATGTCTGCAGTTCCTGCTAATGCGAGCCTCACTCCTCAGTACTTCCTACCTCACCACTGTGTTTTGAAAGAGGACAGTTCAACAACCAAGCTCAGGGTTGTTTTTGATGGATCTGCTGCTACTACTTCTGGGTATTCGTTGAATGACGTGTTGATGTCCGGCCCAGTTATACAGCCAAAGTTGCTTCACATCCTGTTAAGGTTCCGTTACCATCGGGTGGCCATTACAGGAGATATCTGCAAAATGTACCGATGTGTCAGAGTTTTCCCTGAGGACAGCCATTTGCAGTGTATCCTTTGGCGGGATTCCACCCAGGACGAGTTGCAGGTTTTTAAACTTGACACTGTAACTTATGGAACAAAACCAGCGGCATTTTTGTCAGTGCGAGCAATGCATCAATTGGCCGAGGATGAGCAGTTGATGTTTTCAAAGGGGGCCGAGATTCTGCGTCGCGACTTTTACGTGGACGATTTAATTTCTGGAGGTGCTTCTGTGGCTGAAGCTGTCAACATCATGCAGCAAACATCAGGGATCCTTGCCAAGGGTCAATTTCGCTTGAGAAAGTGGTGCCGGAAGAGGATCGGGAGTCGTTTCTGAGATTTGATGACGGCAGCAACTTTACGAAAACTCTGGGCCTCGCTTGGGATCCTGCTACTGATCGCTTGCTATTTTCATTTGAGGGCCTTCAGTCAACCTTAAATCTAACTAGGCGCATCGTCCTTTCCTCGATCGCCCGGTTGTATGATCCTTTAGGGCTTGTCGGGCCAGTCATCACAAGGTCAAAGATCTTTCTTCAGAAGCTGTGCCGTGAGAAGTTGTCTTGGGATGAGAGTCTTCCTCAGGCTCTTCACTCTGATTGGGAAAAAAATTGCTGCAGCTTCGCTATGGCTCAGAGGGCCGATTTTCCCAGATGGTCACTATCATCACCGACCGATTTGGAGATTCATGGATTTTGTGACGCTAGCATCGAGGCTTATGGTGCCTGTATTTATGTCGTCTCAAGGGGTACAGGAGCGGGAAGTCACCTGCTTTGCTCGAAGTCTCGAGTGGCGCCGCTAAAGACTGTTACGGTGCCGAAACTGGAACTATCAGGAGCAGAATTGCTGGCGCGGCTTATGTCAGAAGTAGCAAATCTGAAGATGTACGCTGGGAAGCATTATTGTTGGTGCGATTCTGCAGTGGCGCTGTCCTGGATTCGAGAGGAGCCTGCCCGGTTTAATGTTTTCGTTGCCAAACGAGTTGCGACGATCCAGGAGTTAACCAGAACGATGGAGTGGCGCTATGTTCCCACGTCCTTGAATCCGGCGGACATCCTGTCCCACACATGGGCACATGGTCCTCCGTTTCTTCTTGGTCCTCAAGATGAGTGGCCAGTTGCGGTCCCAGCTGAGAGGCCGACCTTGGAACTGCGCGCAAAGGCTTTGCTCATGCAGTCGCCGTATGTGGACATAATAGCTGCCTCCAAGTACGCTAATTCCTTCTCATCTCTGCAGCGGGTATTTGCTTATGTGCACAAGTTTTGTCATCGAATACGCCACAAGGGAATCACCGCAGGAGATATCAAGTCTGGAACTCAACGTTTATTGCGGTTGGTACAGCGGGTGCATTTTTGGGATGATATAAGGTTGCTTCAGAATGGCAAAGAGATATCGTCGTCCAGCGTACTTGCCACATCTTCACCCTCCTTGGATAAGTTCGGTCTAATGCGTGTAGATGGTCGCCTGAAGAATTCGCCGTTGGATTTTGATAGTCGTCATCCAATTATACTCCCTAGAAGCCACCCAGTCACTCTTGCTATAATTGTTGATTTCCATGAGCGAAATTTACACACGGAACCTCGTGCTCTTTTGGCTATGATTCGATCCCAATATTGGCCAATTGGGGGGAGGAAAACGGTGACGAAGGCGTTGCACAAATGCATCCGATGCTTCCGGTCCAAGCCTCGCCTGCTGGAGCACATTATGGCTGATCTCCCGGAACAAAGAGTCAACGGTTGCCAAGTCTTTGGAGTCACTGGCGTGGATTTTTGTGGGCCATTCCATTACAAGCCAGAAGTTCGTAATAAGGCTCCGGTAAAATACTACGTGAGCGTCTTCATTTGTTCTGCTACAAAGGACGTCCACTTGGAGCTCGTAAAGGATCTATCCACTACTGCGTTCTTGCAGTCCATCGAATGGCATTTTATTCCTCCTCGATCTCCGCATTTCGGCGGACTCTGGGAAGCGGCAGTCAAAACTGCCAAGCATCATTTTTACCGGGCTGTGGGGTCCTCAATTCTTGGATTTGAGGAGCTGCGAACTCTGCTTTGCCACATTGGTGCTGTCATAAATTCACGACCATTATTGCCTCTTTCAGAAGATCCTGCAGACCTCGATGTTCTAACGCCAGCACATTTTTTAACTGGAGGTCCGCCATCTAGTTTAATCGAACCTGATGTTTCAAAGCTAAACTTCAATCGTCTGGACAGTTGGCAACGTGTGTCCTTTCTGCAGCAGTCTTTCTGGTCCCGATGGAAAGAGGAATACTTAAGCCTCCTTCAGCAACGCTCCAAATGGCGTACCTCCGGCCCTGCTTTGGCAGTCAACGATGTGGTGCTGGTCAAGGACGAGAACCTACCCCCGATGAAGTGGCCGCTCGCGAGAATCATGGAACTGGTATCTGGTAGGAACGGAGTGGCTCGAGTGGCGGTGATCAGAACTTCATCTGGAACCACCAAGCGCGCAGTATCTAAGCTGTGCCTTTTGCCCCTTAAGGACGAAGTTGGAAGCCAGGCCCAACTGGGGGGAGAATATAGGGACAAGCAGCAGCCCTCACCTAATTTATAGATAAAACTCAAACAAAGCTTTCGTATTACATACTAATTGCTTATGTTCTCGCCTTCGTTGGTCGCAAGTCGACTCTCTCTCTCTCTCTCTCTCGGCCGCTCGACTTCAGCGCTTATCGGCAGCATCGTCAGATAGAGAGCTTTATATGCGCTAATTATCTAAAGCGGGATCACTCTCTCATGTACGTTCATTGCGCGCGCTCAATATATTGGCATATATTTTCTGTATCCTCCAATATTATCCGCAACAATAAAAATTCTTATTATAACGTTTAACTAATTATATCGGCGTTATTATTTCGAGTTTAAAGGATAGTCGTTGAAAAATCTCAATGACTGAACAGCGCTAGACAGACCTTAGGTTAGTTAGCGATTGTGGGCGTTAGAGTGGGCGTGGCATGGAAAACAAAGGAAACTAAATCTAAAACCCCAACCCTCGAAATATTATAGCTTCCGAGATCACAGCGTTTATAAAAAAAAGTACAATCATGATGGTCAAAAATGAGATAATTCCTTCAGGTTTAAAATGCATGGCGCATATACAAGGCTTTTATGAGAATCAACAGCGAACCCAGTTGTGGTGATACTCCAAACTTTCAATCAAATATTAAACAAGAAAGGAAAGCTAACTTTGGGCGGAGCCGAAGTTGATATACCCTTGCAGAATACTCTGTAAATTATATTCTCCAAAAATATTCATATGATGCATTCTTAATACTTATAAAAAATCCCAACTTCCTAACTCTAAAAACACCAAAGTTATAGCATTTCCAATCGTTCAGTTATATGGCAGCTATAAGATATAGTCGGCCGATCCTTGGTTCCTTGGTAGGTCGGATTGATTGGCCAAAAATAAAACCCATAGAAAATCCCAACTTAACAAACACCAAAGTTATGGCATTTTAGATCAATCAGTTATATGGCGGCTATAGGATATAGTCGGCCGATCCTTATGAAATTTGGTAGGTCGGATTGATTGGCCAAATATAAAACCGATAGAAAAAAAACCGACTTGTTAAGTCGGCTAAACTTTTCTGTGCCAAGTAGATTAAGTAGAAATTATTTTCCCCTAATTTTAAATCATTGTAGATCTAACTATGCCTTGCATGAGCCTTTCAGAGTATTATGTTCTGACTATAATAGACTTTTTCCTGTAATATCAAATCTTGACTCTCTGCCGCTCCTAAAACGATTGATACTTGCTTCATTGGCACAAGATTGATCTAACTATTACTTTTTCCCCGGACCTTTACCTTTATTTTCCTATCTCGCGTCTATCTTATCGCGAATCGTGCCGTACGATACACGGCTGCGCCCCTCGGTCGGTTGGGCGGGTAAGTGGGCCGTGGGACTCCGCGCGAAAAAAAAAAAAAAAAAAAAAAAATCCCAACTTCCTAACTTAACAAACACCAAAGTTATGGCATTTCCGATCAATCAGTTATATGGCAGCTATAGGATATAGTCGGCCGTTCCGACATATATACTGCGTGCAAAGGAAAGAAGGCTGTGTGCAAAGTTTCAACTCGATAGCTTTAAAACTGAGAGACTAGTTTTCGTAGAAACAGACAGACGGACAGACGGACATGGCTATATCAACTCAGGAGGTGATCCTGATCAAGAATATATATACTTTATAGGGTCGGAGATGTCTCCTTCACTGCGTTGCACACTTTTGACCAAAATTATAATTATACAAGAAAGGAAAGCTAACTTCGGGCGGAGCCGAAGTTGATATACCCTTGCAGAATACTCTGTAAATTATATTCTCCAAAATTATTCATATCATGCATTCTTAATACTCATAAAAAATCCCAACTTCCTAACTTTAAAAACACCAAAGTTATAGCATTTCCAATCGTTCAGTTATATGGCAGCTATAAGATATAGTCGGCCGATCCTTATGAACTTTGGTAGGTCGGATTGATTGGCCAAAAATAAAACCCATAGAAAATCCCAACTTCCTAACTTAACAAACACCAAAGTTATGGCATTTCAGATCAATCAGTTATATGGCGGCTATAGGATATAGTCGGCCGATCCCGGCAGCGAAAGGAATAAGGTATACATAAGTAAACTAGATTTGCAACGTTTCAAGTCAATTGCTTTTTTACTGCAAAAATGTCATATACAAATAGAAAAAAAGGGATACTTTCGCAGCCTTTTACAATTTTTCCTATCTCCTTTAAGATATAGACTACCGAGCGGCAAGCGACTTCACCCTAATCAAGATATGCGTAAATAAATAAGAATTGGAAAAATTTATGTTAGAAGCTTACACACTGCGCGAAATATTCTGATAATCGTCAAATTTGGACCGATTTCACCTAATTGTTCTTATGGAAGCTATATGATATAGACGTCCGATCGGCACGCGCTTTCACCTTGATCAATGTATGCATAAAACAAGAAAGGAAAGCTAACTTCGGGCGGAGCCGAAGTTGAAATACCCTTGCAGAATATTCTGCAAATTATATTCTCCAAAATTATTCATATGATGAATTCTTAATACCCATAAAAAATCCCAAATTCCTAACTTAAAAAACACCAAAGTTATGGCATTTCCAATCGTTCAGTTATGTATATGGAAGTTATAGAATATAGTCGGCCGATCCTTATGAAATTTGATATGTCGGATTGATTGGGCAAAAATAAAACCCATAGAAAATCCCAACTTCCTAACTTAACAAACAGCAGAGTTATGGCATTTCCGATCAATCAGTTATATGGCAGCTATAGGATATAGTCGGCCGATTCTTATGAAATTTAGTACGTCGGATTGATTGGGCAAAAATAAAACCCATAGAAAATCCCAACTTCCTAACTTAACAAACACTAAAGTTATGGCATTTCCGATCAATCATTTATATAGCAGCTATAAGATATAGTCGGCCGACCCTTATGAATACGGACAGATAGACGGACAGACGGACATGGCTATATCAACTCAGGAGGTGATCCTGATCACGAATATATATACTTTATAGGGTCGGAGATGTCTCCTTCACTGCGTTGCACACTTTTGACCAAAATTATAATACCCTCTGCAAGGGTATACAAATACGATTTGGAAAGATTCATGTCAATAGCTTGTATACTGCGCGAAATATCCTAAAAATCATTAAATTTTAACCGATTTTACCCTTTTGTTCCCATGGGAGCTATAGGATATAGACGTCCGATCGCCACGCGCTTTTACCCTGATCAAGGTATGCATAAAAAAATACGATTTGGAATGATTCATGTCAATTCTTGCAAGATATATCCAATTGTTCCTATGGGAGCTTAGGATATAGACGTCCGATCGGGGCGATTTTCAAACTTGATCTGCGTACACATGTTTTAGGACGAGTGTGAAAGTTTCAGATCGCTAGCTTTTAAACTGAGCTCGCCAACGGTATTGAAACAGACGGACAGACGGACATGGCTATATCGACTCCCCTATTGATCCTGATCAAGAATATAGGGAATTATAGGGTCGAAAACGTCTCCTTCACTGCGTTACAAACTTCTGACCAAAATTATAATACCCTCTGCAAGGGTATAAAAATAATAACATAATGACGTGCAAGTGCAAATGGGAGTTCAAAAGGGAAGGCACAACAAGCAGGGTGGCAGGAGGTTCGCAAAAAGGGGTGAAACACAAACAAAATCAAATTTTAATTACCACGCAAGCGACCGTATATGTGTACATCGACCGCTGATAAGGCACCGGGATCGCTTGTGCGGGACAATTTACAACAATTATACTAAGGAGTTACTGTGTGTGATGACCGTATATGTGTACATCAATCGCTGATAAGGCACCGGGATCATCCATACACAGAACTCATAAAAAAAAACCAACAAAAAATGGTACAAAAAAAAAACAAAAAAAAATTTAACACCGGAAACTACTGTGTGTGGTCACCGTGTGTGTGTGTGTCGAAAAGCATTACATGTTACATGCTACATATTCACAGGAAAGTAGTACGTGTGGTTTAGTAGTTTGGAGAATAACCGTTTTGTCGCGGCGATAACCTGACGTCGCTGTCACAAAATGTAGTTTGTTACATATTCACAGGAGAATGACAGTAAGCAGTTAGACGTCGAACATTAAACTTCTTTTTGACCAAAACTCGCTGCGCAAGAAACAAATAATATTAGCCACGTGCTCTCAAATACCACCTATACACCAATATGCACATCAATCGTCGACAAAGCACCGGGACCATCCGTACACAGTGGCTTACAAAAAATAAATGTAAGTTGTGTGATTAACGACCGTATATGTGTACAACAATCGCTGTTAAGGCACCGGGATCGTTTAATTTACATTAACGCAAATTTACTATTATGAAATACACAAAAACAAGAATACAAAAAAAAAAAAAAAAAATGAATAAATTAAAGCTTCACAAATATTATGCAAAACAAAAAAAATGTTTACACAGTGATATGGTTTCTTTGGCAAATGTCAAGTAAACATGTCCATATGTATGTGTTTGTGTTGCCTTCGCTTGCGAAAATCTTGCTGGGTCACTGTGCATTAGCAACCGCCAAGAGCTAATATATTTTGATTTAATTTGAGAAGATGTAATAAATAACTTTCACTTTAAAATCCATTGAAAATAATTAAAATGTGTAATCTGAAGCAATTTCTAGAACAATTGGAAGTGGGCTTTGCTATATTTTGCAGCGCTTCGAGCCTCATTGAAAATGAACACGTTTTCATGCTTTTAAACCTATTTTTTTAGAAAGTCCCGTTAGATAATAAAAAAAAAAGCAATAAAATTAATTAAAGAAAAATGTAAACAAAATATAAATATGCAAAAAAAAAAACAATCAACAAAAAAAAAAAAAAACTTAAAATCTATTGCTGTCACATGTTCACTAACCTCAAAATACACTCTATTGAATATTTACTAAATTAATACATTACAGTTTAAGCCACTAAAACACCAAAGTGGAAAGAAACACATCAACACTGCCCTAAATACAGGAAAGAGATGGAAAGAAGCAATA